CCATACCGGCCTGATACCGGCCCCAACCTTGACGCAATATGGAAAAATGTACACAGACCAACAACACGACTAGCCTCAACACCTAACGCAAGCAAGTGTCCACGTCCTCGTACCTGCCCTCTTCATTGCGCACGNGACGTACAAAAAGACGACATGCCATGTGTTGGCTCATGAAAACGTTATGACTAAGGTTTGATCATTTTGGCCGGCCTGGAATGAACGAACGACTACCATACCGGCCTGATACCGGCCCCAACCTTGACGCAATATGGAAAAATGTACACAGACCAACAACACGACTAGCCTCAACACCTAACGCAAGCAAGTGTCCACGTCCTCGTACCTGCCCTCTTCATTGCGCACGCGTTGGCGGGTTGAAGTCCACGCGCGATGAACTCCTCCTTGGCCTGGTCAAGATGTCAGGGGTCCCGAAGAAGGGGACGGAAAACAAACCGTGTGGTCGAACGTAGTTGTCGAAATAGTTACGACACAGCAATGGGCATAGGAAACTATGCACAAGTATCAGATAAAAAAGAACATTGCTGGGTAGTCTTGTCGACATGGCAGCAACTGAAGAGCTTCGAGCACTGCAGCCAATTAATATGCAACGAAGTGCATGCGCTGAATGGAAGAAGTGTGGTAGTTTAGCGGGGGGCACAGAGCATGCGGATGTCCTTACCAGCATGCGAGAAAAAATGTTCTTGTTCCCCGCTCTACATAGTCTCTCTAGCGTTGCTTTTCAAATCGCAGCAACACATGGGCAATATGTCAATATGTCAGCAGTGATCTACCTATGTGCACTTGAACAACAACAAAACACGAAACATGGTAGGTTTTGCCGCGAGCATAAATCAAATCAACCGGCGACGCAGAGAAGGAAGACGGAAGGAACGTTAGGTGGAACAAAAAAAAAGGAGGGAGAACGATGGTCAATGAGGAACGCGTACACAAAGCGACAAGAGCACACGAATAAATCCACTTGACCAACGGAGCAACGAACAACCACGAGTATTGAGAATACTGCTCAAAACGAAGCACAACAGCCCAGTACGTCAGCTACGCCAAGGGGAAGTGCTCACCTGGGCATAGGTCAAAACCAGGTCGTCGAGCGCGTCAGGTCGAACGTCATTCTGGCCAGCCACAGGTTCGCAAAGATGCTGAGAGAAGGCAGGGAGTTCCGGAGCCTTGCCGGTTGTGGACCCAGTCGCCACCGCGAGAACGCGTGTGGAGAACACGCTCTGTGCCGATAACGTCAGCAGCACCGAGCCCGGGGCCACCTGCTCTTCCTCGACAAGTACTGCTGGCGGGACATCCTCGTCTTGTCCTTCGCTGATGAAAGCCACGAGCTTGGTGAGGCGCACGTTCGGAACAGCCACTACCTCAAAGAGGTCTATGGAGTGGTGGCTTTGGCGGCGCAGGTTCCGCAAACGGGCCCGAGCAAGCAGCACGAAGGCCACGGCGGTGTTCCCTTCTTTATCCTGCCATGCTGAAACGCTGAGAAGCTGACCGAAGTCCAACCGTTGAACCGGAGGAGAAGGTTGCGCATCACGCAGGAGATTGTACACATTGCTCTGGGTGCACTTTTCCTGCTGTGCAGGCTCCGAAACCTGATCGGCGCCAAGAAAGTAGTTTCCCAGAGGTGCAAGTGCCGGGATGTCTACCTTCCGCATGCCATGCTCATCAGGCTCGCCAACCCGGGGTAGTACTCCTTTGTTCGGCGCCGCCGTCTGGCAGATGCCGTGGACGATCGGTCCTACACGACACATGATGTCCGTGATGACGAGGATAGGCATGTGCTGCATTAACGATGGGGGGACACGGGGGACATGAAAGCATGGGTGAAGGTAGAGCGTGGGAAGTTGACAAGGTTTCCTTGGCTTCTACTGTCGTGTTTTCGTCCGACGTGTTCTAACAGACACTTCACAAACGAATTTGAGAGGGATATCCCAGCAATAGACTGAACACAGATTGCCATCTCGGTTGCGGTTTTCAACATGTTGCACCCCCCGCGACCATTCATTGCATTTGGAAGCCTTTCGAGATGAGGGTCACACCTGTTGTGTAGACAACCCTGAGGCCGTCGACGTCGTATGTGTACTTGCGTATTTGTTCATGCTCAACGGGAGAATATGCGAGATAACATGAATACAAATTGCCGACTTTTCCGAAGAGGTGTGTCAATTCCATGCCTCCCTTTGAGAATGACATATGTACGTGAGTGTCACGCATGCAGACTGTCATTCCGACTTGATTTTTTGGGATTTCTAATAACACTAGATTTCAGAGTAAAAAACACTTGTGCGACACAGGGCTGTGCTCGCGACCATTGTTCCCGCAACAAATACTGGTGCGAGCATTGGAATTGGAGTCGATAAGAGATTATGTCTATCCTATCCTACGGTCAGCTTGACAAGTGATGGTAATGTTTTGTTCTTGCATGCTGTGAGTTGTGTTATAAATAGCGCGTTGGTGATGTTCTTTTTTTTTTTTCTTTCTGGCGTGGGCACAACACAAGCGTACTTCGGGCATCCAAGCGCGCGTGGGGCAAAAGAGTTCAACCTATTGGAGTAGTGTTTACAACGCATGAAGAACCATAATTTCCTGGAAGCGTTCTACGTCATTACAAATGTGTGCTAAAGTGAGCTGGCCAAAGTTCTCACACAAAGACCATGCTTCACGTGCATGTACACTTCACGTGCATGTACACGACGTCGTGACCACCTGTGCAATGTGCATTTCTAACTTGGCGACTTGGGGGCATTTGCGGGGCAGCAGTGGCCTATGTGGAAAACCCGACTCTGAGGTAGGCATGCCGCAAGCTCGAGCTTTTCACGCGTGACATAGCTTGTCACGAAAGATTGGATAAAAAAACAGTTGCGGCCGCTCTGTGAAGAAAACAAGGGGTCCATGTTTGGGGTATTATTTACACGCACTTGTATACAAACCTGGTGAAGTATTTCGAAATGCACTGGGATTCCGCAGAAGAAACAACACATGTGTTTGCTGGACACATGATTTTTTTTGTGCTACGCTATTTCCGCATTTGGAGGGTTTTTTCTTGTTCCATTTTCATGTTCGTTTCGTTCTAGAAAGGTGTTCCCCTCTGTGGCTCGTCTGACCACGGAAGGCATCCCCGTCAGTTCGACCAGTACGGATATTAGAAGGTACAGTACTGCGCGAGACGGGAACGGTTTTAAGGTGAAAACAATAACAATAACAAAAGTCGTGCGTGGAACTACCATTGTACCCATAAAAAGCATGCGCGAGAAGACGTGCTTTGGTTCATCCACCGAAGTACGTGTTTCCTTATCCTTGCCCCCCTTTGTTACTGAAGGCGGCTTTAATTCCACATGAAATTTTTCCAGTATCATTTCCTTCTGAAACGACGCGCAATTCTTACTTCGTGTGTGCACATGCGTGGGCATGGTATCGCTATCGTTGTGGCCGCGCCTGCGGCATGGTTCGTGGGCTTTCATAGTTTAGCTGCGCTCCAAACTCTACCCCCGAATGTAGCAATGGTGCACTCGGCCCGTACGTACCGGTAGAGCAGTATCCCGGTCCCGTAGGTGCCCCAATGGCAGACGAAAGGGGCGTACGTGGTTCCGTGAATTCGAAACCATCACCTGATAGCTCCCCTAGCTCCCCCGAGGCCT